TGCAGTTCAGCACAGCTTCAGCTGCTTGTGGCAACCTAGTAGCACCACCCTCCCCCAACTCCTGCCTAACAAGCTCAGGGCAGATTCCTGGGCATCAGCATCCATACCTGCAACCTACGAGATATTTCTCTAACTCACTTTGGCTCCCTCCCAGCAAAGGACGCAAGCCTCCAGAAAGACTTAGAAATGCTTGCTACGTTGACCTGAACTTTGCTTCCCTCTTCCTGGTAGGCATTGATAAATTTCATGCCTGTTTCTTTTCAGGATTGCAGAGAGTACGGCAACTTGCAAAAAACACAAGATATTTCAGACAGAAACTACAAACACTGGGATTCATTATCTATGGCAATGAGAGTTCTCCTGTTGTTCCTCTGCTCCTTTATATGCCTAGCAAAGTAGCGTAAGTATGCAAGGACTCTCAGAGTCCCACCTAAACCCACAGGTGACCTAAGATGGGGCTTTTGATACTGTAAGACCTGTTGGCACAAGCATCAGATAATGTACTTGGAATGGAGTGATCAACTTCAGAATTCACTTGTACAACTTTTCAGAAGCCACCTGCCAGTCCTGCAACCTTTCCCATGGGTCTTATAGAAAGGAAACCAGGTGCTAAGAGCAACCTGTCTCCCTAAATAGAAGCTCTGTGAATTTAGGGAAACCACTTACCTCCCTTAGCCTCAACTATAAATTAAGGATGATCCTCAGCTTCTTTCTGGCCCAAGATCTTTCTCAATGAAAACTTCTGAAGACCCTGTCTCCCAATATTACCATAAAAACATGATCAGTCTTCTGCTTTCTTTCTTTGAACTCCACAACATCCTCAGAAGAGGGCATCCTCATTTTGGAAGTTAAACAACTTGCCAGAAATTATACAAAGTCAAACAGAAGTTAAACTAAGATGTAAAAAACTCAAACTGAGGCTTGCCTCAAACTGAGGCTTGCTTCAAAGCTCATGCTATAAGCCTGTTTTAAGTTGTTCTCCATTGACGGTAACTCTGAAATTGAGCATTAGCAATAACTGTGTTAAGAGGGGAAAAAATAACTTCTTAAGCATATGGACAGTTTTATACATGAGCCATTTTCCAAACTGCTAGAGACTAATTACCTCTGTTGTTACAAGGAAAGCAATTAAAATCTCTCTGAAAGGTAAACTATTATTTGTGTTGCTGACCAAGCACATGATAGAAATTAATATTCTATGTAATATTTATCAGATTCTAGAGCTCCCACCAACATAACCTATTGCTGGAACTTTCTGTTTTACCCTCTAACAATATGAATAGATTGGCAGAGTATTTGAAGTATAGAAAAATATCAATAAAAGAGGTTTAGGGTCTAATAGTTGGGAACTCACAACTATTGGTGTGAGGTGAGACAAGTTATAAGTTCCCAAATGCTGATGTTCTTGTGTCATTTCACCACAGTAAAATAAAAAGCAGTTAAAATACACACATGAGGGGTTTTTTTTAGCACATCACACCACCAGTTGGCCCTTTGTTCACGGATCTGGGTCAGGTAAATAGCACATGAGCACCCAAGGAGACAGTGTGCTACAGAAATATTACATCCATACCACTCTGTGCTAATGGCGGAAGGGGTGACAATGGCAATTCAAAATAGCAGATAATCCAAAACCTTCTGATTTTGGAAAAGACACACACACACACACAAACCCATATTTATTTAGAATGGTTGGGGAAGTGATGTGTTCTAGAAGGAAAATTCCAAACTTAGCTCATATCTATCTAATATTTTATCATTAACTCAAAAGAAGGCATCAGAATAAATCTGTCCAGGGTGTAAAGTGCATAATGCTGAAATTGTTCCAGCAACAGGAGGGAGCGTACTGCAGAGTTCTGATTGTAATGATGAAAACTAGAATTACTCAACAGGTTGGAAAAATAAAAACAACCCAATAAGAAGAGTCAATGAATAGTAAAAATAAATTCATTTAAATTCAAAAGTTCAATTGTGCCATATGCTTCATGGACATGCTCTATGGTGGAGTGAGGAAGTTTGGAATCAAAAAGAATTTCAACTCTGCCTTTTCCTAGATGGGGGATCTTGGACAGGTTATCCAACCTTCTGAAGTCCCAGTTTTCTCATTTATCAAATGGGATCTAACAGCATCTACTTCATAAAGTCATTGAAGAAGATTAAACAAGATAAGATCCACACAGAATTTGTAATTTTGCCTCTTATACAGGAGTCAGTGTTAGCTGTTATTAGTAATCATATGAATAATGTGCAGAGAGCAATTAAAATAGTGCTTGGCATGTCATAAGCATTCAACTACTTGTAGCCATTAATATTACCACTACTCTGCTATAATGATTATTATTATTAGTTTCAAATGGGTGTAAGGTTCAGTCATCATAGTTGCATGGCTTTTTAAAATAATTATTACAATTTTTTGTTACATTAATACAAAATAGAACTTCCAGAAAAATATTTGGTAAAAATCCTACTATACTCTCCACTGATATTAACTCTCCAATTAATATTTGGTAAAAATCCTACTATACTCTCCACTAATGAAAACTGGAAAATAAATCAAACTGTCCTGTCTCCTTTAACTTAGGATTGTTTTTTAGGGGCTGGGCATGGTAGCGCAGGCCTGTAATCTCAGGTCTCTGGGAGGCCACAGCAGGTGGATTTCTTGAGCTCGGGAGTTCAAGACCAGCCTTAGCATCAGTGAGACTCCATCTCTAAAACTAGCTGGGCGTGGTAGTAAGCACCTATAGTCCTAGCTACTTGGGAGGCTGAGGCAAGAGGATCACTTGAGCCCAGAAGTTTGAGGTTGCTGTGAGCTGTGATGCCACAGCACTCTACTGAGGGTGACAAGATGAAACTCTGTCTCAAGAAAAAAAAGCCAAACAAAGATCGTTTTTAAGAAGGAGCTAATACTGCAGAATACTGATTACATGCTTAAATAAGACATTATCCCTTATTTTAATGGAAGATGGAATGCCTATCCCTAGTTTATAAATTAGGATGCTAAGAGTCACAAAGGTCAATCTATTTTACAAAAAAACCTCACACACTGGCTCTGTGCCCATAGATCAGTTGTTAAGGGCACTGGCCACACCCAGGGCTGGTGGGTTAGAACCCGGCCCAGGTGTGTTAAACAACAATGACAACAACAACAACAATAGAAATAGCCAGGCACTGTGGTGGGTGCCTATAGTCCTAGCTACTTGGGAGGCTGAGGCAAGATAATCGCTTAAGGCTAAGAGTTTGAGGTGGCTGTGAGCTATGATGCCGTGGCACTCTGCTGAGGGCAACATAGTGAGACTCTGTCTCAAAAAAAAAAAAGTCATACAGTTTGTAGGCAGCAGAGACCAGAATTCAAAGCCAGTTCCATTTGCCGCCTAAACCAGAACTCTTTTTGAACACAGCCTCACAAGCTTTAGTCCACAGGGGAAAAAGTCCACATTTTATTCAGGAAACAAAGAGTGCAAATTTAACTTTCTTTAATGTCATCTTTGGTGATTCAAAAAATATCAGTCACTATGATAGAAAAAAATCTCATTGTTTTGGTCCCCTAAGGAAACTGAGAACAAGTTAGCGCAAAAGGTAATATCGTCTATTACTGGCTGGAGTTGCTGGCAGGAGTTTGTCCTGCTGCCCAACTTTGTTTCTTTCAGTGACATTTCCACCCCCTGAAAGTTCATATATAGAGAATTTTTTTTTTGAGGCAGAGTCTCACTATGTCGCCCTCAGTAGACTGCCATGACATCACAGCCCACAGCAACATCTAAATATAGAGAAATTTTTAAAACAGGAGTTAATTGCATAATCCAGTGTAGACGCACTTCTTTCATTTGCTTATGTAAAAACTTTTGATTGTATGAAAGAACTGTGATGTCTCCACATTTCCACCTATGTAAAATGAATATATAATCTCTAGCCAGTTATCCTTCTGAACAAAGTCCTGCTACAATTCCACTGCTAAACTCCTCTGCAGAGTTTAGTCTAATATGATCTCACCTGCAAAATGTACAGTTAAATAATCAAGAATGTGCTGCATTTAGTAATTTGACACAGGGTTTACATTCTCCCTCCACTGTCCTCTTCATACATGTGGAAGATGGTGGTACACAAGCTGGAATGATGGTGCATGTAATTATAATGTTTTTTATTATTCTTATTAGTTACTATTTTGCATAGTTTAGTTTCTTTCAGCCTATGCCAGCTCAAATTTGCTTCAGAGAGTCCAAATGCAGAGACTCATTATATAAAAATGTTCAGCACAATCAAATACATTAACTCAGGGACATTAGCTTTAGTAGTGTAAGTTTTAAACTCAAAAGTGCTCCAGGAGACCCCAGATCAGCCTAATGAATCAACAGAGTCATATATTTTGCTCTGCATTCTTTGGCAAAATGTGCTTACTTTTATACAAAGAGAAACATGAAACAGTGAAAACGGTCTTCTGGGAGTTCCGAAAACTGGCCTGAGATCATAGGTCAGGTGGTTTGTCCTTTAGCAATAAAAGCACTTGACTTGTTTCTCAGACAATTATGAGCTCTCCTTCTGTGAAGTTCTGTGGGCAGCCTTCCATAGGGTGATCAAGAAAGGGAAAGAACAGCCTCTATTTTCAAGCTTTCTCAGGTAGAAAGCTTCATCTCCTTGTAACCTTCCCAGTGTAAATGAAAGGGAAAATCTTGCTTTGCCCAAGCCAGGAGGCCAGGGAGGCTGTGTGTTCTGTAGGCCTCCAGACTCCATTGCTTGATTTGACAACCTACATTCTGCCTGAAGCAACCAAAAGGCAGACAGCTAGAGAGCAAAATGGGTGAATGGATGAGCAGGCCCCTCCCCACATCTGGTTTGAGAATTCTTCCTGAATTATGGCTAAAAGTTTATCTGGGGCTATCAGGTTCCAGCCTAAAACAATATCAACAACCTCTTAATGCCAAGATCAGATCTGAGGCATTTACCCCACTTGTGGGTAGAGCCACTGAGAAATTAAGGTTCCCTGCACTGAGTGAGAGAGCCCAAAAGAGGAAAAGAGTTGCCTGGGAGTACACACCACTTATCTGACCTTGGCTCTCAGCACAAGAAGTTTGCATACTTTGAGCTCAGTATTCTAGAATCATTACAGAGAATAGTTTTGGAAAAGAAAGAGGCTAGAAGGACAAAGGGAAGGAATCATAGTTTATAAAGGTTTTGCCCTGCGTCAAAGAGCATCCCAGAGACTGCATCTATCTGCCAGGTTCTTGGTGTGTGCACACTTCTTTCCCTGTTTTCTCCCACCGCATTCCCTTTTCATCCAGTCAACACGTTTTGTTATCCCTGCGCTTTGTCCCTAACCTTTGTCCATTTACACACAAGAAGTAATGAGGAGATCCTTGCTATTTCTTATCTATGATTTGATGGAAAATAGAATCTTCAGTCCTGGGATGGGAATATTGGCTTGGGGTTGGGCTCTACAAAACACTTTGATGTTCCTCTTGAAGTGATTTCAAGTGATAGTCACTAAATATAGACTTATGGAAATTTACATATATTATTGGTATTAAGTTTCTAAGACATTAAGGTTTATACTTAATATATATTCCTTCCTTCCATAATTGCATCATATTAGCTATTTGGTTTTTATACCTAGAAAACATATGGATGAAAGATTTTACATCTTTCATCTGGTTATTTTTATTTATTTATCTATTTTTTTGGCTGTGGCTAGGTTTGAACCCGCCACCTCCAGTATATGGGGCCGACACTCTACTCCTTGAGCCACAGGCACCACCCTTTCATCTGGTTTATTAAACCAGAGACACATCAGCATTTTTTCCTCAATGTCAAAAAAGTCTCAGTAACTCACAATGAGTGCAGTCACAAGCAGCATCAAGTGACTGCCTTCCTATTTCTTTGTCACTTATATTTGGTAAACATTTAACAACTTTGATCACATATCTTTTGATTATCATCAAAAATTTTGAAAAGAAAAAGTTGATTAACCACGACCGGATAATCTTGCCTTTTCTCAGTTAACCACCTTTTCTTTGCTTTTCCCTAAGGGCTTTTGCAAGACATATGTTAGAGAAAAAAATTGGGGTGGTGGTTGTTGGATTTCCAGCCACCCCTCTAGCAGAAGCCCGGGCTCGGTTTTGTGTTTCAGCATCACATACTCGGGAGATGTTGGACACGGTGAGTACATCACATGCCAACAGGGTCCAGTATTGGTACTTTGGAGTCTCAGCAAATTCTTTGATGGAGACAGCTTTAAACTCTATAAGTTTCTTGGGGTGATTTAGAAAAGCAACACTAATGAAACTACTGAAAAATAGAAATATTTCAACAATGCCCAACAATGAGATCCACTCAGTAGACAGAAAGGAAAGTCAGGCCAGGCACGGTGGCTCTTGCCTATAATCCCAGTGCTCTGGGAGGCCAAAGCAGATGGATTTCTTGAGTTCAGGAGTTCCAGACCAGCCTGGAAAATAGAGAGATCCAAAACCAGAAAAAACTAGCCAGGCATGGTGTTCCATGCCTATAGTCCCAGCTACTCTGGAGGCTGAGGCAAGAGGATCACTTGAACCCAGAAGTCTGAGGTTACTGTGAGGTATGATGATGCTCTGGCACTCTACCTAGGGCAACAGAATGAGAATCTGTCTCAAAAAAAAAAAAAAAAAAAAAGGAAAAAAAAGGAAAAGAGCTAAAAGAAAAAATATTAGTTTAGCAAATACTTCAGTCAGTATTTTGGTTTCATGCTAAGTAGCCAAATATTGTGCTGTTTACTTGTTTGCAAATGCAAAAGCTGATCTAAAATGCTATTTTAGCCGCAACCACCTGTATCTTGACATTTTTCAGAACCACCAAATCTACCATAATAACATATGACCCAACTAACCACAGTGAATAAATCAGGTGTTGGTTATATTAACAAGTTTGATGTAGGCTTTCCACATTGCATATCAAATTATCACGTTGGACCCCATAAATGCATTAATGTACACAGTTATGATTTAATAAAAAAAATTAAAAAGAAAGAAAATCAATAACAAAGACAGATCTATATTATTTCAGCCAGACCTAAGTGAGGTAGAAGTGTTTGATTATAAACTATATTTTATTGCCCCTGGATTTTCCTTTTTATGTGAATGAGTAATGTCAAAGAACTAAACTATCTCAATCAGTCTGGGGTTAATGGAAGAGTCTCATATTACTACAACACAGTTTTGCAAACACTACTGAGTGCCTACTACTTGCAAATTCAGAGCAAAAAGTCAAGGAGAATGTATTAATAAACAACTACTGATAATATCAGACAGAATAAATTAGTCTTGGAAAAGAAATGTAGAAAACTTTGGGAGGGTAAAAGTGGGAATGAATATTATAGTGCAGAAAAGTCACACAGGAGGTGAATGTTGAGCTGCGCCTTTTTAAATGAAGGTTATAGAGGGTCATCCTTAAAGGTTTCTGACCAGCACAGCAACAGAATCAGGAACGATGATATATATGTGACAGATGGGTTGAAGAAGAAAGAGGCAAAAGGAAGGAACCCCAAATTGAGATCTAGGCAAAACAAGAGATGACAAAGCCAATGGCAGTGGAGACAAAATAAATAAATCCAGGGACAGACATTATACATGTGTGGAATTGCCAAGATAAGGTGAATCCGCAATAATTATATCTGTACAACTATTAATTCTTCCTCTATTAATCTAATTATAAATTATCCAATTATCTCTTCCCACATAGGCACTAAGCACTATGGGCACTATGGCTCTATGTGGGAAGAGATAATTGGATAATTTATAATTGGATAAATAATGGATGCCTATGTGGGAAGAGATAATTGGGGGTGTTGGCCCTTGTGAATAGAAGGATGGCAAAGCTGTCAAGTGAGTTGAAGTGCAGAGTAAGGAACAACAAATCCTCAACAGGACTGGGGAAGTAAAATGAGCCCAGTTCTAGACTTGTTGAGATTGTGTGTCCATGGGCTATCTATAGAAAAGAAAAACAGATTCTAGAGCTTAGGAAAATTGCAAGGCTGGGGCTGCTGTAGTTTAGGAAACTCAGTATTAAATCCAACGGCAGAGGATGAATTAATAATTGTCCAGATACAAGTGAGAGTGAACATGCCCAGGCCAGACTCCTGGGAAACGCCTAGATCACAGGGCAGATGTGGGAATAGCATGTGGGGACTCGACTTAGATGGAGCTAGAGCAGTCTTAGAAAAGATATAGTTAGTGTACCATTAGAGAAAAATGGGGAAAGTTTCAAGGAGAAGGTGGAGGTTCAAAATGCCTCCTCCACAAAGACTACAGAAAATTCAAACGTGGGAGATAAGAAGAAAATACTGGATAAGTAATTAATTTTAAAGGAATGCAGGGACTGGAGATAAAAATGCAAAGAATAATTAGACAAATGTACTTGCTCAAAGCCGGAGACAAAGCCACTAGGCAAATAGTGGCTTACCACCTCCCTCTTCTGACTGACATGTGTGACAGCTGCGGCTTTACCCATGACAACTCCAGTTTCGCTTTAACCCTACTGCCTTCCAGATGAAAAACCGTAAATACATAGTCAGCCAGTGAACCACTCCTGCATCTTGATGGCAGCCACCCCAGAACTGGTTCCTGTTTCCTTAGAGCCCCTGCAGGCACAAGCCCTAACTGGATGAGGAGCCCCTCCTGACTTCCTGTCACCAAGATGTCCATAGTTCTTCTGGAGTGTGTACTCTCCACCCCTTCATTAGCAAATGAAGCCTAAAATCGAGTACCTGTGTTATCTGGGTGGTTTTTGAACACAGGGCTTTAACATAAAAAATTTATAAATGATGAGTATGTGCATTGCCAGTATATTATGTATATAACAGATCCACAAGTAGAAATTTAAAAGGTTGACATAAAAATGAACAGAAACACTGATGTTTCCCTCCCATATCATCCATGAATCATCTCATACATGCCCCAAGAATAAAGGTACTCTACTTTGAAAACCATCCCCCACCTGCAGCAAAGATCCATCAAAACCATCCCACATAGATGTCATTCCAAAGGTAACTTTTGTTACATTTTCTTAATACTTAGATTGATGTAGGAAATTTAGAAAAATAGGGACAGACATTTTAAACATCCAAAATCCAACCACCAAAAAATAAATTACTCTTAACATGTTGGTAGATATATATGATTGATGTCAGTTTGAAAGACTTCCCATAAAGGAAAGTTATATGCCTCATTAGTCATTTATTCTAATGTCAACAGTCCCCACTTTACCTTTTCACAACATTAGACCCTAATGTTGTCTTCCACCAGATTTGACAGGTTAAAAACAAACAACAGCAACAATAAAAACCAGGCTCAGAAAAGCTGAAAAGGCAAGTCTAATACCATAGGATTAGCAAAAGACTAGAGTAAAGGTGACATTTTTATTTTCTGGATCTCCCTTATTTCATTTGTAAAGTTGGGGATACATTTGCCTACCTAAAGTAAGAGAATTAAAACAGGTGAGTTTTTGATTCCTTGTGAGTTTTCAGGACATAGAGATGAGCAAAGTGTGACAGGATAGAAGATGAGGCTAATCAGCTCCCACAAGGTTCCACTGTGTTCCTGGCCAGGCTGGTTTGCTGTATCACAAAGACAATCTCAAACGCATTCTGCAGCTTTATCCTTTCCTTCCACAAGGGTATATATAAGCCATTACATTTTAAAATAAAACCCTGAAGGATAAACATAGGTCAGATGTTTTTTAGCCCTCTCCATGTACTTCCAAACTGAAATGAACATTCATAATTTTGAGTTAGGCCATTAAATAAAATGAATTAGCATTTAGCATTCCTCTAGGACTTATAAACCACAACCTAATGACATGGATCATGCTCTTTTTCTTCAAAAACAAAGAAGCTGGCTAAATAAGACAGTGGGTCTTTGTGAGGTCTGCTATTAACCTGGGCTCTACAAAGCAGAGCCACTTAGAAATTTAAAGATAGCTGATGAAAGCTATCTCATTGCAGGTTTTGGAAGCCATTGATGAGATGGGCGATCTCTTGCACCTGAAATATTCCCGTCACAAGAAGTCAGCGCGCCCCAAACTCTATGATGAAATGAGCTTTGAACTCGAAGATTAAGTTTCCTGGTCCTGAATGAAACACAAGACTTTGCCAGAAAAACCTCCCTCCTTGCCTCAGAAGAAACACAAATGGATTTCCTCCCCCTCCTTCCTAAGGACAATTTTGGTTTCCAGACCAGTATAATTGAACTGAAGGGAAACACTGTTGTTCTTAATGTCTCCAACTCTGGACTAATTCCAGACTTAAGTTTCTAGTCTCCCAAATATTCTGCTAGAAATAAACACACACACATACACCACAAACATACATACGTACACACTTCTTAGAATATTTTTAATGGGAATGAGCCTATGTTTTAGCTGCTACCATGCAGCTCCTTTGGTCAGACCCTTTCAGGGGTTCTGACCAAATGAGAGGATTTTTATTTTAATTCAGTAATCAATGCATGTGTTTACTAAGTTCACCTGCATATGTGCACAATGATGGTCAACAAGACCTGCACCCTTGTCCCACCCTTAAAAGTATAAGCTAGGACTCATCTTTATCACAGGACATTCTAGGCAGGAGGATAAGAAATGTTGCTTCTACCACTTGCCACATTTGAACACTTTTCCACGGATGAGTGTCAAAGACATAGTTAATGTTTCAAGGGAGACAGCAGAACTGTCCAACAGCAACTAGAAATGTCTTCAAAGGAAACTTTCCTTTTCCTCTTGCTGGTCTCCAGTTTTACAGCTGAGCTTTTGAGGTTTGGAACATTTGAGACCTTTGTGGAAGGAGGTAGACCCAAGCAAAAGCCAATTTTAGGCCTAGACTAGATTTGTAAAGTTATAACAACTTGAACATCATTAGTGCTGTGCAGAGTGAATGTTTAGCATGCACGGCCTTTATTACTTTAGGGAATGAATTGTCACTTTCCTACTGAATTTTGAGTAAATGTGAATAAACAAATAGAATAGAATAAATAAATTCTATATCCTTTAAAACTGACCCCCAAGACCACACTTGAAGAATGTATTGATCCAAGAAGAACATTTAAAAGCAAATTCTATCTCACTTTTTAAAGACTGACATCCCTGTTGCAGGGATGGGTCAAAGTGGGCTTGCACACTTTTGAGCAACTAACTATAATTTACTCACATTTTATCTTTGTCTATCTCTCAGTGTGAACACAAAATGCTTTAGAAAAGTAGGCCTTTGCTAATTGGATCTAGTTGGTGTGGGAAAAAAGCCCGTGGAAAACCTTATCTTTAACAAGCTCCCAGATGGTGCCCAGATTTGGAAACTCTGAAGAGCAATGGTGACCTTTTAGCAATGCTCTTGTAACAGTTTGAATGAGCTGCAGAACATTCCACCCCATCAAATGACACTGTAAACAAATCACTTCAAGAGATGTTTGGTTTTGTGTGACCAGATGGACCCAAGCTTTCATGCTGTGCAGTGAGATAGAAACTCGACTCACAGCACCAGTGTTGGGTGGAGCTATATGCCCTGATGGTCACAGCCTGTTTAAGAAAAATGGTGAACAGTGTGGAAAGCTTTTTGTGGGGAAATTATAACCCCGAGTGGGTACATCACTTTAAAAGTGAATCATAATCATAGAGTTCCTGGTGAATGTGTTAAGAGTTGTAAGGAGTACTGTTAGGGAAAGGGACAAAGACACAGATTCTGAAAAAGCACTTTCCCTATCCAATGACTGATTTTGAAAACTAAATCCCAGCTCTTTGCAGCATCACATGTGCAAAGAAAATGTCTGTCATCTATGTGTGCAAAGAAAGGAAGACTATAGGTCTTGCCTCCTGAATATGTAAATTTAAAAATGATTTTGTTGGGTGGTGCCTGTGGCTCAAAGGAGTAAGGCCCTGGCCCCATATGCCAGAGGTGGCAGGTTCAAACCCAGCCCTGGCCAAAAAAAAAACTTAAAAAAAAAAAAAAGAATTTGTTCCTAGTTAATTGTCCAAAATGCATGAATGCCTTGAGTTTTAGAAAGGAAATGGTAGATAGAGATAACAGTGAGATATGTAGGCCTTCTGGAAGATGTGGAACACAATACATATCCTCCTTCCTTTCTGGATCTGTCTGTAATCTTCACACACACCTTTACACCTACCCTCTGAGATTTAAGTCCCTAGGTGGGTGTCAGCATGAGCAGGAATGTCCACCATTATTACTTGTATAGAAGCACTAGAGTCTAAGTCATCATGGGAAGTAATTACTTAACCACCCAGCATAGCAGGACAGAAAGGATATTACTTCCTTTGAGAGTCCTGCAGTAATCTATTGCTTCTAACATACAAGAAAAAGAACTTATTTCTGTCAGAGTCTACGTTGAACATATACTCTTGAGGCAACTGTAATCCAAGTGGAATGCTTCCCGAGTGCATGAGGAGGAATCCAGATTCCATAGGGCTGATAGTACATACATAGAAGAGCAGATGTCTTGTGGAAGAGGATTGAGTAGAAGGATGGTTGTGAACAATGAGTTTTTTTTTAATTTTCATAAGAAAAAATAAGACCATATTTTTTCTTAATTCCATAGAAATAATTGAGTCTTAATAACTATATCAGAGTGAAAAAAATGTCTTTTGATTCAATCTATTGGGAAAGAGAATTTTCTAAGAGAATTGTAATGTTATGCACCTTCAACCCTTCTATTTACATAAACACACGCACATTTTTCCTTTACAGAGGAAGCAAGAGTATAAAAGTAGAGAGATGAGACTTTGGTTGGATAATAGATTAATGGAAGATGTTGTTCTAGAAAATACCTTCAGGGAAACAGAAGATAAAGGTTCCATGGGATATTTGTAAGGAAGATACATTTGCATAACAAGAAAATAGCATAGTGACTTGGCACTGTACCATAGTGGTTACAGTGCCAGCCACATATACCAAGGGTGACGGGTTCAAACCCAGCCCCAGCCAGCTAAATAATTAAAATAAAAAAATACCCGGGTGTTGTGGTGGGTGCCTGTAGTCCCAGCTACTTGGGAGGCTGAGGCAAGAGAATCGCTTAAGCCCAAGAGTTTGAGGTTGCTGTGAGCTGTGACACCATAGCACCATACCAAGGGTGACATAGTGAGACTGTGTCTCAAAAAAATAAATAAATAAATAAGAAATAAAATGGCATAGACTCATTTCTAGTCTTATAAAACCATGGTGTCATAGCTGCTTAGCCACATTGCCCTTCAATATTTTTTGATTAACAAAATATGAGAACAATTATTGGAACTTTGGGTTTGATATACTAGTTGGCACTAATAACATGACAGGAACATTATTCTGATTCTCTGTTAGTAGTTAAGTGTGTTAATGTCAGTAAATTTATCCCATGACCAACATTTTCTCCTCCATGGGACATTTTGTTCCCTTTATCCAAGTAACTTCTCCATTTGCATAAATGAACCCTATATTGAAGAAGGACCTGGCATTCATTTGGTCAAAATTATTCATTCTCTAGTTTCCTTCTTTATCATTCCCTACAAGATGCCCCTTTTCCTTTTGTTACCTTGCTGTAATGTGGTGTGTTTTTTCTCTTTTCTCTTCCTACCCTTTAAAAGCAGCCTTCAACCTCTAATTATTTATTTATTCCATCAACTCTTCAGTAGGGTAAAAGTCTTAACATCTTCAAACAAGCAATGCTCTTCTACCTTTTTTTTCTTTTTCAGAGATAGCAAATATTATAAAGTGCTTTCTGTGATTTAAAACTTCAGGTTCTGATAATGAAAATTTGACTCTCTTAAATATATACTTTGATTTATAGCAATAACAACAATCAGAATAACAGCAATAAGAACATTATCTGGTAAATTCTTGCAGTTTGTCCTGGTCTCAAAACAGTAAGAACAATATATTTGAAGTCTGATTTCTCAGAACACCCTACCCAGCTGTGTAATGCTCGGAGAGTTTTTTGTTAAGTCTATATTTAAATGTGTTTAGATAATTATTGCGAGTCATATCTTATTGCAGCATAATGTATGTGGGTGTATGTGGGTGTATCTGTGTGACGTGTATGTTTCACTGAAACAGTTGAGATGACCAATTTCACTTCATTTTGCCTGTGAAATGTTAGTTTACTTAATAAACATATCACCAAAATTAACAGTATAAAAAATAATGGGTGGTTTTGTGTTGATTCAGTTTAAGTTTCCATTTAAAAAAAAGACTGAGATAGAGATATGCATATAAGAATTTCACTGAGGAAAATTGGTAGGGATGGCTGGAGCTGTCTTGCACTGACAGGAGAGCCAACTGGGCACATCTCTTTCCAACTCCTCATTAGTGACATCACTTTAGTAGCTTGAAATAGAACACAGTGGGAATATTTACACTACAGAAATTGGCAAACACTATATACCAGGTATCTGGAGAGCTGGCTGTTAAACATTTACCAGCCCACCACTGGGACCACATATGATAGCTAACCTAAGGGAATAGGATTGGGAAGAAAGAGTAGTTGAACTCTGATATTATCACAGCAAAGGCCTTGGACAATTCTGTGGGAGTCTGTGTAACTGAGATAATCAATGACCCTTTAAGGCAGTGGTTCTCAACCTTCCTAATGCCACGGTCCTTTAATACAGTTGCTATGGGTGGCCTTAAGGGCTATCTCAAATTGACACAGGAATCCAGGCCATGTCCTGTCCCCACTAATCAGTCACTGGATACCAGCTATAAGGGTAGAAGTGTAGGGCAGGGAATTACCTTGAGCAGGACAACTCTATTTGGCTAAAATCTCATGGGGAGAAACTCAACTGTGATTTATTATTTAAAACTTTATTTTTAATCTATGCACTTAGAAAAAAAGTTTTACACTGGAGAATTTTAATCATGCAGTTATTTTGAGAGAATACTACAATGAGCCCACATGTATCTGTTAAAGAACTGCAAACATATTAATTCACAGCCAGTCTTTTCATCTATCCCCTACCCAGTTCAGTCTCCTTTTGACCAGATTACCTTGAAGCAAACACTAGAATTGTCTCATTTCATGAGTATTTTATTGATTCTGTCTAAAAAGTAAGAGTGTAATCTGTTTCTCTTTTCAAACTCGTTAAAAGATAAATCTTCAGAATAACAAGGGCATCAAAATGAGTAAAATGTTAATC